TCACACCAAATACTATTACTAGATATAAAGGAGATCATTTCTTAGGCAAAAAGTTCACTTAATGGAAAAGGATGTAATGATTCTATGCTTACCTCTCCCTCTCCCTCTCCCTCTCCCTCTCTGTGTGTGTGTGTGTGTGTGTGTGTGTTTGTGTGTGTGTGTGTGTGTGTGTGTGTGTGTGTGTGTGATTGAACCTAAGGTCTTCATACTGAGCTACATCCCCAGCCCATTTTTATGCTTTTTTTTTTTTAATACCAGGGATTGAACTCAGGACCTTGCACTTGTGGGGCAGGGGGTGGAACACTGAGCTAAATCCCAGCCCCCCCCCTTTTTTTTTGTACTGGGACTCGAATTTGGGTCCTTGCACTTGCAAGGCAGGCGGCAGACCCACTGAGCTAAATCCTTGGCCCTTTATTCTTTATTTTGAGATATGGTCTCACATTGCCCAGGCTGGTCTGAAACTTGCAGTCCTTCTGTCTCAGCCTCCCAGTATGCTGAGATTATAGGACTGCACCACCATGACTGGCTCATTTTATATATTTTAAGCACCATACAGAGGAAAGAGCTAGCACTTCTTGGCGGCATATGTGGTGATGAGATATCATATTTAAATTTCCATTACTACCTGAAACACAAGGTCCAGGATGCAAATTTTATGGGACATAAAACAGGAAACTGTGGCCCATGACCACAAGAATGCTAGATTCTCAGGTGATCTAGTTATGGAAATTAGCAGATAAAAAGACTTTAAAACAACAATTATACATAAGCTAAAGAATTTAAAGGTAAAGTCTGGCCATGATGTAATCCCAGCACTCGGGATGTTGAAGCAGGGGCATCCTGAGTTCGAGGCCAGCCTAAGCAATTCATTGAGAGAGGCTTGTAAAAAAACAAAACAACAACCAAAGAAAAAAAAGAGGATTTAAAGGTAAGAAGTAGACACAATTGGTAAAAGGATAGCATAGTTCAAGAGAAGTACAAAGGCTAATAAAGAGTAAAACCAAAATTATGGAACTGAAAAATATGATATATAAAAATAAAATTCACTGTATGGGCTTAATGACAGATTGGGCATTGCCAAAGAAAAAATAAGTGAGTTTGAATACAGGCCAATATAATTACCCAAGTTGAAGTAGAGAGGATAAAAATAGTTGAAAATAACAGGGTATTAGTAAGCTGTAGGATAACAGCAAGCAGTCTACACATATGGTTAGAGTGCCATATGGAGAAGAAAGAACTAAAGAAACAAAAATTTTTAAAATAAACTGTTCCTGAAATTTGGATTATAAATAATAATCTACAACCTGGTTGTGGTGGCTCAAACCTGTAACCCCAGAACTATGGGAAGTCGAGGGTTGCATGTTTGGGCCCATTATGCACTTAGCAAGACCATGTCTCAAAATAAAAATAAAAAAGGGGCTGGGGTGCAGCTCATTGTGAAGGTTCTGGATATATATATATGTATATATATATAAAACACAAGTCCAAAAAGTCCAACTAATCCCAAGTAGGATAGACAGATAATTACACATAGCATATCATAGTAAAAATAACTGAAAACCAAAGATAAAGATAAAAATCTTAAAATCAGCCATAGGGAAAAATAAACACTACACACAAGAGGACACATGTGAATAAATATGAGGTTTTTCTCACCAAATATAGCATATACCAAAGAGTAATTAAATAAATAAATAAGTATGCTGTATTCATACGAGGGACTACTGCTAGGCAGTAAAATGAATTAACTAGCTCAGCTTTGGCCCAGATAAACCTTAAAAACACTATTGTAAGTGGAAAGAGCCAGATGCAAAAGAACACACTGTGTATGATTTCATTTATGTGAAATGTCTAGAGAAGCAAAATTATAGACCAAAAGCACAGTGGTAGCCTGTGGCTAGGGGTGGAAATTGGGATGGATTGCAGATGAGTAGCAGGAATCGCTTTGTGGTACAAGAAATGTTCTAAAACTGGACTGTGGTGATAGTTACATAACTCTTTCAATTTACTAAAAGAAATCATGAAATTAGGTGCTTCAAATGGGTAAATTTTAGATATGCAGATTTTGCCTCAATAAAACTATTAAGGTAGTAGTAAACAAGCCACTGACTTGGAAAAAGATAAATTTAAAACATTAACTGAAAAAGGAGAGTTATCCAAAATATATGGTTATTACAAATCAGAGGAGAAAGGGTCAACACGACAATTGGAAAAAGATTGGGAGGCAACACAAAGCAATCCTCACTACAAATGATTTTGTGAAAAGATGCTCCACATTATTAATAGTTGATAAAATATAAATTAAAATCACAACAATGTATAAGCTCATACCCACCTTCCTGTTAAAAAAAAAAGTCTGACAATACCTAGAGCTGGCATAGAGGTGGTAAAGTTGCCTTCACACTGTACATCAGTTTCACTCCTACAGCTACTGGAGAAATACAAATGTACACAATAAGATGTATACAAGAATTCCCATAGCAGCTGTATATAATAACAAAATAAGAATATAATAAAGATATATTATAGCATAGCTGCACGATGACTATTATAAAGCAATGAAAATGTATCAAAGCTACATGCATCAATATGAATGAAGCTTATAACATACTGTTAAGTATAAAAGCATGTTACAAAATATGTAGAGCAATGCCATTCACCAAGTTAAAATGTACAAAGCATTACAGGTGTGATCAAAGAAGACAGTGAAAGCCAAAATATTTGGCTGTTAATTCCCCTCAAAATACCCCACCCTTGCTTTGAATGTACTTGCCCCATCATTCTTACCATTTTTTGAAGCAGTTCTGGAAGTCTTTCATGAGGGTCTTTAATTTCACTGTACTGCCCCGATATCCTGAATCAATTGAAAATATTGACCTTTCAGGTTCAGTTTGACTTTAGGGAAGAGCCAGAAGTCAGGTGCCATAGCTAGAGAATAAGGCGAATGAAGACACACTGTAATGTTTTGTTTTGATTTTGGTACCAGGGATGGAACTCGGGTCCCTGAGCCTGCAAAGCAGGCACTGTAACCACTGAGCTAAATCCCCGGACCTTGTAATGTTTTTATTTGACAGAACTGCTGTGAATGGTTGATCCACAAGGAGTGATCAAAAAATACAGTGAATGTTTAAACATTTTATACCAGTAAAAGACACACTGCCATTAATCTCCCTCAAAAAATATTCAAAATATACACCCTCTAGCTTGGCAGCATATCTTTACTGTAAGAAGTTTTTATAAATTTAAACATTGACTGTATCTTTTAATCACTGCTTGTATATGGTATGTAATGTAGTAAAAGTGTAAACATGCATGGGAATGATTAAGAACAAACAGAATTGTATTTCCTGACTGGAGAGAAGAACACAATAGAGGAGGCATTTAGAATATATTTGCAATGCTTTATTTCTTAAATTGCATGGTGTTTAGAGTTGCAATTGAACTGCATACATACAGTCTACAATGTATCAATTTTATCATATCCATGACGTCATTATAAACAGCTATTATGGAAATTACACGTATATAATATATATATCTTCTATTGGTTCATCTCTCTGGAGAGCGCTGTACCAACCATTGTTCAATTGCATGGCTTTTCAATATAAAATATTTCATAATAAAATTTTATATAAATAATGAATGGGTGTTAAAATGTGTTTGATGCCACAGAGACAAGTCACATGAGAACTGGGGCAGGAATGGTAGCTCAGAGCAGTACAGCTCAGACTTAGTAGGTTCAAGGTCTTGGAGAATGACCAACTGGCAAAGGAGGTGGCCTCCAAGAATATACGTTTGCCTTTGCAGGAGCAGACCCAGCACTGTGTCCTCAGTGGCAGTCACAGAGCGACCCAAAACAAGCCCACCCTTGATGGGGGACAGCCCCAAATGAAGGTAGGAACCGGTCTGTTGCTAGCGGAATGCAGAGACCAGAGAGGGTTAGTGATTGGGTGATTTCACTTCTCTGTAGGGCTCCCATACCAACTCTACTGAAATTGGAAGACTCCTGATGCTCCTTTGGTTCCTGTGACCATACCAGTAGAGATTCTGGAAGACTTGAATTTTGTCCCTTTGTGTGCACAAAATTAGTTTTAAAACTTCTCCCCACAGATGCAAATACTGTAGATATCAGCTTTCTGAATAGTAGTTTTCCAAAGACCATAATACCCACCTCTCTCGTGGAAAGAAAGACCATAATATCTAGCTCTCTCATGGAAAGAAGGGTGTTCAAACTACAATGATCATCTTATTCCCGGTCAAAGGAACATCAGGACCACAGTGAATGAAGATAAAACTTTACATATGCCCAGCATTAAAATAAAAATGACAGGGAGAGAAATCATGTTTGAAAAAATATTGAGCTACTTGAGGATGTTCTCTCTCTCTCTCCTTCCTTCCTTCTTTTTCTGCCTAGCAGTTGAGTTTGGCAATGGAGCGCTGCTAATGGCTTCCCAATTTAGCATCAAGAGGGTTGGCAGCAGGGTTTTCCAGGGTACAGAGGCTGAAGGGGCCAAGCTGTTAGTCTGTCTCGCTCCTCCCAGAAACGCAGTCTGGGTTTTATTGTAATTCCTTTTGGGGATCATCAGAGGAGCTCCAGATGAGGAGATTTCTGAGCTAGAGTATTTCTTCCCACCCCTCCCAGACGGATTGCAAGGTTTTTCCAATACTGCATTCTCCCCCGGACTCTCCCTGGTAGCCGCAGCGCTACTCGCGCCAGCAGGGGTCAG